TGGGCGTGGATCCTGAGTGGCCGTGCCCTGTGCTGGGCGTGGATCCTGAGTGGCCGTGCTCTGTGGTGGGCGTGGATCCTGAGGGTGGCCGTGCCCTGTGTTGCAGGACTTCGTGTTTTACGCCCCTCGCCTGAGGATCAACAAGCGGATCCTGCAGCTCTGCATGGGCAACCACGAGCTGTACATGCGCCGCCGCAAGCCCGACACCATCGAGGTGCAGCAGATGAAGGCCCAGGCCCGCGAGGAGAAGCACCAGAAGCAGCTGGAGCGGTGAGGGCAGGGCCGGGCGGGCTCAGCGGCATTGAGCGAGCTTGGGCTCCCGGGGTGCCGGATGAGGGGTCCGGCGGGTGGTCCAGGCGGGCAAGGTAGGGCGGGGAGGACTGCGGTCAAGGATGGGTGTGGTGTGCTTTCGAGACCCTGTTTGTCCCTGGGGGCTAGTGAAGGCCCAGTGTGGCGGACCCCTGCTGGGCCCCCAGCCACCTCCCTGGTGAGGCCTAACCCTGCTGCGCCCCCGTGCCTCCCCCCGCGGTAGGCAACAGCTGGAGACGGAGAAGAAGCGCAGAGAGACGGTTGAGAGGGAGAAGGAGCAGATGATGAGGGAGAAGGAGGAGCTGATGCAGAGGCTCCAGGACTACGAGCAGAAGACCAAGAAGGCTGAGAAAGGTCAGACGGGGTTCTGAGCCGGAGCTCCCGTGGGAAGTTGGGGTTTCCAGAGCGCCCGGCGGAGACCAACAGTGGATGTGTGATTGTGTACACGTGTACACACACACACACACACACACACACACACAATCAATCTCTGTTAAACCAACCCTACTGCCATGGACTTGATTCTGACTCGGGTCCCCCCCTCCACCCCATAGACCGTTTCCAAGGCTGTCAGTCTTGGGGGGTGGTCTCATCTTTCTCCTGAGGACCAGCTGGTTGCTTTGAACCACTGACCTTACGAGCAGTTCAGTGCTTACCTGACAGCACCACCCACCAGGACCCCTTTAGTTTTGGAGACTGAGGATGACAGCCTGGCCCCCCTGGGTGAGGGCCACGAACAATTTCCCACAGTCCTGTGCACTAGCTGCAGTGCCCCTTGGCCTGGTTTGGGTATGAAGGCTCAGCGAGGTGGGTGGCTTAGCCAGGTGATGCGCGGATCATTCTGAGGAAGGCGAGCGCCACAGGACCAGGAATCCCACCCCGGGGAGAGCCGGGTTATGCCAGCTTTGTATCGTGGTTTCAGTCCCTTGTTTTTAATGTCCTGAAGTCATCACTGTGCCCCTGGTGGCAAACGGGCTTAAACACTGGGCTACGAACTTGAAAAGTCAGCTGTTTGAAACCACAGCAAGCTCCATGAGAGGAAGGCCGGGCTTTCCGTTCCTGTGAAGAGTGACCGGCTCGGGGACACACGGGGTTAGTTCTGCCCCGAGTCAGAACGAAATCAATGGCCGTGGGCTTGGGTTTGGGGTTGGGTTGGAAGTTAACGCGTGAAACACACCGGGGCTGTGTGATGGAGGCTCATTTCCATGTTCCGGGGAGAAGGCTCACGCGGGGACACCATCCCCGCCCCCTAGTGCGTGACTCCGCTCAGCCGCCCAGGGTCTGTAAGTGGCCTTGCCTGTGCCTGCCTTCCAGAACTCTCTGACCAGATCCAGAGGGCCCTGCAGCTGGAGGAGGAGAGGAAGCGCGCCCAGGAGGAGGCCGAGCGCCTGGAGGCGGATCGCGTGGCTGCGCTGCGTGCCAAGGAGGAGCTGGAGAAGCAGGCCGTGGATCAGATAAAGAGCCAGGAGCAGCTGGTACGGATCGCCGGGTTTCAGGATGCTGAATTATGGAGAGGCTGCGGCTGGGGATTGAGAAAGTGACACCTGCCTTCCAGGAGTGTCTGTCTGGGTGTAAAGTGACCCAGCCGTGTTAGCCTGCGTGCAGATCCCCTGTGCCCTCTCCACATGTATGCACAGTTGGCTGGCTGGCAGGGGGGGGGGGCGGCCTTAGGGGATGTGGCCTGTCACCCTGGGGGCCGTTCACCCTGATGTGAGGGTCCCCAGAGTCACTCTGAACACCCTCGCCAGGCCGCCGAGCTCGCTGAGTACACAGCCAAGATCGCCTTGCTGGAGGAGGCTCGGAGGCGCAAGGAGGACGAGGTGGAGGAGTGGCAGCACCGGGTGAGCCTGGGGAATGGGCCTCAGGGAGGAGGGCTCTCAGTGCCTGCCCAACCCAGGGGGCGGATCTCAGAGGAACGGAGCTGGGGGGAGGACTGCTCCTTCTCGGCCCACCTTGGCTGGCCACCACGGGGCAGCCCCATCAGGGCAAGTGTACATCCCATCATGCCAGTAGGCCTCACAGTGGGCCTCAGGGTGCTTTGCGTGGCACTGTGGGGACACCCACTGGCTGGGCCTTCCCAGACTGGGCCGCAGTCAGGTCCCGGCCACACAGTAGCTGTGTGTGGCCAGGGACAGATAGCTTCCAAGAGGCGGGTGGTGGGAATATCTGCTCGTCGGGTTGCTCTAGGACAGGTGTCCACCTGCACCTGCAGCCCAGGCCCGGGCTGGGGCTCAGCGCCCTGCAGCTCAGGAAGGAGGAGCAGCATGGAGGCCAGAGAACTTGTCTCAAGCCTGAGTCCTCTGGACAGGGGCCCCTCCTTCCCACCCACCCCCACCGACGCTCAGGACATACAGATGGCAGGCCTTCAGCAAACAAACAGGTCCTTGGAGAAGGTCCTCCTGAGCATTCGAGGAGTTAGGGCACAGACACAGGGAGGTCCCCCGAGGCTGGGTGGGGAATGTGCCTGGGCTGGGTCAGTGGCACCCCATGATTCTTAAGTGGTGCTTACAAAAGGGGGGCGACCTTGGTACTGAGATGACGGGCAGTGCTGAGGCCGCTCACCTGTCTGACCGAGTCCACCCCGCCCCACCCCGCAGGCCAAAGAGGCCCAGGACGACCTGGTGAAGACCAAGGAGGAGCTGCACCTGGTGATGACGGCGCCACCGCCGCCGCCCCCGGCGTACGAGCCGGTGAATTACCACGTGCAGGAGAGCCCGCAGGAGGAGGGCACCGAGTACACGGGCTACAGCGCCGAGCTCTGCAGCGAGGGCATCAGGGACGACCGCAACGAGGAGGAGCGCGTCACCGAGGCCGAGAAGAACGAGCGTGTGCAGCGGCAGCTGAGGGTACGGGCGGGTGGGCAGGCTACAGGGAGAGCCCGGGGGCTGCTGAAGACGGGGTGGGGCTTAACAGCAGGGCAGGGCTCGGGGGAGGCTAGCTCAGCAGGTGAGAGCAAAGGTGGACTCACGGCTGAAGCCGGAGCACATGGAGCTGCCACAGGCTGGCCTTGTCCTCAGGCAGTTCCCACTGCATTCCTCCTCTTCCCCATGGCTTTTCCTGGTGGGCGAGGGCCAGGAGGGCATCTCCTGGACAGTGGAGGTGGCCTGTCACAGGTCAGTACCTGACTCGAGTCTCCCCCTGGCTGCAGACCTTGACCAGCGAGCTGTCCCAGGCCCGAGACGAGAACAAGAGGACCCACAATGACATCATCCACAACGAGAACATGCGGCAGGGTCGGGACAAGTACAAGACCCTGCGGCAGATCCGGCAGGGCAACACCAAGCAGCGGATCGACGAGTTCGAGGCCATGTAGATGCCCGGCCAGGCGGCAGGACTGGGGCCGGCCTCCGGTGTGACGGCATCGGCGTTGCCGCCACACACGTCCAACGCGTGCATTTGGGGGGTTGTTTTTTGTTTTCTAGTCTTCTCGATTTAGAAAGCTCGCATCATATTCATTTCTTTCAAAAGCGAGTAGTTCTTTCAGTGGGCGCGCTCGGGGGCTGGGGCCCGTGGAAGCTTCCCTGGTTTATTATCCCAATTGTACCATAGTGCCAAACGGCCCGAGTTTGATCATGATTGTCTATCTGGTCGAGGCCTGCTGTGTGTGGAGCAGGCCGATTTGAATCAGGACAGATGCCGATAAAGTCAGTGGCTGCACGTCAGCCTTTGTGATAAGATTAAGTTCAATTAAAACCACCTGGTGGCTGACCTTCCGTGCCATACTCTTCCCCCCCCCCCCCCAAGTATTTGAAACGAGCTCAATTGATTGATTCGTCCTTGGTTTTTTTACGAAGAGTTCATCTTTTTTGTATATTTGAGGGGGTGCAGAATTTGAGGGATGAATTTATTTTGAAAATTAGGTCTCACCCCTTCCCGCTGGCCATGGTCCCCCCAACAGTGGCCGAGGCCCTCGTGGCTGCAAACTCTCGGGTTTTGCTTCACAGAGGAATCCACTGTTGGACTTCGTGGCACCTAATTAACCCTCCGCTGTAGAGGCTAGTATTTATACGTAAGTGATAATATGGGTTTGTAACATTAGTTTCAAAAGGGAAAGTTTTGTTCTGTATATTTTGTTACCTTTTACAGAAGATTAAAAGAATTACACATGTGAAAAGCCGCAACATGCGGCACTTACTCCGCCTGGAGACCGGTTCCCTGCTCATCCCCCTGGAGTGAGGCGTATTGGTTTTTTTGCCCGGTCGTGCACTCAGCGCATGCCGACGACTACGCGCCTTGATTTTCTAACAACGCAGCTTGTTTGGAAAATGCACACTGTTAATCATGCAGACTCCACCCACGGAGGGACCCCTTCAGCCTGCTTTTATCACCCCGTGTGTTTCATAAGACCCTTGTCCATCCCTCTCCTCAGCTTGGAGAAGCTGCAGGAGTGTGGTGCCCACACCCTGGGCTCGCCCTGCTTGGGTGCCGCATGTAGCCACGTGAAATAAAGATCTGCTGGCCGTGTGCAGTTTTGTGTCTGTTTTCCTGCCCGCGGTGGGGTGGGTGACTTGGGGCTCCCAGGGGTCCCCACGGTCCCTTCAGGTGTGCTTTGCTGAGGGGACACCAGGCAGCCTTATCTGGACCATGACATCCCACCACTCCTGACACCAGGGATCTTCCTGGCGGGTGGGTGGTTCTGTGTGCGTCAGAACCGACCCTGTGGCAGTGAAGGTTTGGTTTTGAGGAGCCCTGGTGGGGCTGTGGGGTAAGCATAGGTCTGCTAACCACAGGGTGGACGGTTCAAACTCACCTTCTCTGCTGGGAGAAAGATGAGGCTGTCTGCCCCGTCGAGATTGAGTCTCAGAACTCCACACGTGGTCACTGTGAGTTACCATGGGCTTGGTGGCAGGGGGCTTGGTGTGGGAGGTTACAGGGGAGGGGAGGGCCCCAACGCACACCTCTCCTAATGATAAACCATGCACTCTCCCTGTGTTCTATGCCCACAAATGCCTCTGGACCCATGTACAAGCTCTACGAGCACAAAGCAAGGATGGCCAGACTTCATCTCGCTACTTGGGACATGTCGGGAGAGCCCAGTCTCTGGAGAAGGACATCACGTTGGGTAAAGTAGAGGGGCAGCGAAAAAGAAGGCAGACCCTTGAGATCGATCGCCATGGTAGCCGCAACAGTGGGCTCAAATGTCACAACTGTGAGGCTGGTGCAGGACCGGGCGGTGTCTCATTTTGTTGGACATTGGATTGCACAAAACAGTTGTGCAGTTGTGGGAGAGGCACCACTGGTTGTGTTGGGCTGGTAACCAAAAGGAGGTGCTGCAAACCGAGAGTAACCAAAATTACTGCCATCGAGTCTGCTCACGCAGAGGCTACAGGCTGCGGCCCGGGAACACGGGTGCGGTCCCCTGTCACGAGGTTACCAGGTCACCATGAGTCCAACTCCTCCATCGCATGAAGGACTGAAACTTCATTTGCACTGAAAACTCTTAGATATGCACATAATGGCTACCAACTAATACCTTAACAGTCGCTCTCCCTGGAGTGCAGGGAGGCAGGTCACCAATGAGCCTTACTGAATTCCCACCAGCCCGAGACCTTGAAGAACATAGGTTCCCAAATCATTGCTACCTTTGGGGGGGGGTTGCTCAATGGCCCCTGACAAAAATATGATATAAAAAGTGTGTATTCTCGCCCATAATCCAGGATAAAGTGTAGGCATCTGCTTCTGTAGCCCCTGCCCCGTCACCCAGCACCCCCCAGAAGGCAGTATCACCCTGTTTAGGAAGCATTGTTCTAGAATGTCAACAACTGCTCTGTATTTAAATACGTTTGTGCTACACAACCCAAGTGGGGGAGGAAGAGCGCCCACTCTTTAGCCGAGACCAGCTGCCCGGTTCTGGGAGAAGCCCCACAGGGACGCAGCCCGTTTCAGTGTAGGATGAGTGTCATGTCTGTCCACAGGTTGGGGTTGGAGAGCACTTTGTGCCACTGGAGCTTGGATGGGGAGCAGGAGTCCGCAGTGCTAGCTGGCTTCTCTTCCTCTGTAACAGGAATAAAACAACAGCAATAAGCAGTCACGACCATCCCTGTCATCCACAGGTTAGAAAGGGCCAGCCAGGTCACCTTGACTTGGAGGCCAGGTTACCATGCTGATCAAGGTCAGACCCCAGCAGACCCAGTGCTTCGAAATGAGTGCCTGGCTGCCGACAGAGGCATCATTCCATCTGCAAAGTCGGCAGTAGAAACCAGCTGCTGCTGCTGCTCCGTGGGAGAAGGGGCTTTCTGCTCCCGGAAAGAGTTAACAGTCTCAGGGGCAGTTCTACCCTGCCCGGCACGGTGGCCTTGAGTCAGAATTACCTCAATGGCAGTGAGTTGAGTGGAGACAGTTGGGTGGTTTGCTGCCTCTCCAAAGGCAGTGGGCCACTTAATACATTACCTGGGTCAGGGGCAGTCGGGGAGTGGTCCAAGATAGGGTGACCCAGAGTTGCTTATGGAAAGGAGGGGGAGAAGGTGCGTTATGGCCAACATGCCTTATAAAACAGTTCTCATGAGTCCTGTTTGTCCCGAGTTTCTGGCTGGGGGTTGTGGAAGTGTGTGTGGGCATCTTCATTAGCCTTTGAGGGCCCAACGCAGGGTTCCCTGGGGCAATGCAGCGTGCTAGCACTGCCATTTTGTCTGGCTCCTGAGGAAATGCTTTCTGAATTGCCTTTTGTGCGAGTTAAGAAGATAGGCTCCTTTAAGAATAATCTTTTCATGACCAATGCCAGAAACGAGCAAACAGTGCACCTCGTTCTTATTTGAGGCCTGTAATGTCTATTTCTTTAGCAGACTCAAATCTGATTTACATCGTTGGAATACTTGGCTTTATTACCTCCCCGTAGTGAGCAGGAATTAGACTTCATAATTCCCACTGGGCAGGCAAGGCCGTCTCTGCCCCTGCTGAGCCCTCTGCTGCTGTGGCTGGGTTTTGTTGGAGTTTAATCTTGTTCGGGTAAGACCATCATTCGGGACAAACCCTGTCACCTGGACCCCCATAAAGGTCTCCCTTGGACTTACTTGAACCAAGCCTGGCTCTGCCCAGCAAGCGGTCGTTCATGCCAAAGCTGGCCTGATCCCAAACAGTTAACTCCAAGCAGGACCGCTGCAGCTGAGAAGTGGTCACCCCATTGAAGACGAAGGAGTGCTTCCACTGGGGGCAGGCTTGCTTCTTCAGCACCGGGGACTTCAACCTTAGCTGTTGCTGGCCCGGCAGAGTGAGGCAGCTAGACCCAGGAAATACACAAAGCCAGTCACCATCCGCCCCACCCAGCCTCCTGAGTTTGGAAAGA